TACAGGATACATTCAAGAAGTCGCTTCGTTACAAACTCGCCATAGCAAAATTGAAGCGTTGAGGTATATCAGCAGGATGCCGCATTCGGGGAGCGGGGTATGAGGATCTTCCCAACAATCCCTAAACCCTGAACTTTAGGGAGGCATGTAGATTCCACACTTTAAGGGAGGCATGCCAAGCTCTCCATGAATTCATGTTGATGCAGCCCTTGGCCCGTCATTTAGGCCCTTGTCTTCCAGCTTGAATCCCAAACCTCCCTGTGGCATACAATCGGAGCACTAGCGCATGCTCCGTCTCGCTACAAAAGCGCCGAGGAAGTGGCAAAGTGCCCGGGCTGTTCGCTGAACATCGGCGGCAAGGCACCTGTGCAGAGTGCCGCAGAGAGCAAGGATTTGATGAATCACTCGTCACCACATACACCGAAAGCCATCGAACAAACACTCGCACATCCCGCGCAGAACAGTTCGAACTTGACAGCTTAAGCCGTTGAGCGCAGCCAACCAAATCTTGGAGATTTCGGAAAATCTGATATCCGAGAAACATAGAGACGTACATAACAGGATCCTTATTATGAGCACCTCCAAATATCCAACACACCAGGTTTCGGTTTGCGCTCGAAGACCATCCTTACCGAAACTTGCCTGAAACCCAAACCCTAAACCCTAAACCCTAAACCCTGAGCATGCAGGACCACAACAAGACCAGCGACACCTATGAGGACGACGAGAGCGCAGCTCGGCAGCAAACCCAGTGACGGGTTTTGGGTTTAGGGTTTAGGGTTGGTTTAGGTTTTAGGGTTTAGGGTTTAGGGTTTAGGGTTTAGGGTGGGTTTGAGGTTTAGCAGTCTGGGGTTCAGGAGTCTAGGTCTAGGAACACTGGGCTTATGGACGACTGCCAGCGCTGTAGACGGAGATCGTAGATCTACGTGGAATTTCATGTCATGTTGAAATCCTAAGCCCTAGACCGCATCTCATGGGTTTAGGGTTTAGGGTTCATGCACCTAGCCATTGACCCTAATCAGAGCTTGCGTGCTTTGAATGGTGAACTAGCTTCCCAAACCTGGCTGCATCTCCCTGGCCGGCGTATGGTTTACGATCCTCAAATGATCAAAGCTAGGTAACTTTTGTGAGCTTGGACTTATCAGATCAGAAGCTAGCCGGCACAAGAGGCTAAACTAAAAAAGCGTTGGCATCGTGGACCCCTTACACTTGCATTCCGTTCAACAACATGCAGCTCGTTGCCAACGGAGCCCATTACTTTCCCTAAGGGTCCAAGTAGTCCTTATTTATGGTTTTACGTACCCAAAAAAGCCCCAAAGTCCTTAAATAACGATCTATCCCCAAACCCTAAACCCTAAACCCTAATCCCCAAACCCTGTTCTCATTCTTAAGGCCCCTATAGCAAATCCTAAGCCCCGGGCTCTCTCAGCACACGTTCCACGTTCACGACGAAGTCTCCAACTCCAGGATCGATCGCCATGGGGCTACATGCTGCCAGTGGCCGAGAAGGACGAGCATTTGGGGGTTTAGGGGTTACGGTTTAGGGTTTAGGGGTTTAGGGTTTAGGGGTTTTGCTTAGTTCTCCAATTCCCAACCTTGAAACTTTTTGGGCTCTTACGGTTTAGTAGTAATCTGAAAGTTTAACCTTTCATTTCCCTGGCCTATTCGGCAAGTAAGTTAGGGGTTTGGGTTTCAGCTTTGAGGTCCGATGGCTTCGAACTTCGAAACAGCTGATCTGCAATCGACTTGCAGATGCGTGCTGAAGTGCTGTTTATGATATAAATCATGCATTAGCTTCAGGACCTGAATTTACGGGAATGATGGTATATTCCTTTCTATGGGTAATGCAGAGCTTATATCATCAAGCGTAACTCGGAATACAGGTGCTTATCACTTCCGCACTAACCGAGCTCTGAAAACATCCGAAGCCCCAGCACCTGAGCTTAACACCTGTTTAAACCTACAGTCCCACAAGCCCGAAACCCATAGCCCTGCAACAACCACACCCTAACGCCCAAAACCATAGACACACTTTCTGGAATGTCTATAGCACCGCTCCAGTTGCATCGCGGGCCTGCGGATAATTCCCATAGTTTAGGGTTCTAAAGGTAATGCAGGATTTATATCATCAACAGTATGGTGCGGGTGCAGGGCGCGAAACCCTGCACCTGTGATGCATACACCCTAAACCCTAAACCGACCCTAAACCCTCGATCCTAAACCGACCCTAAACCCTAAACCCTAAACCCTAAACCCTACACCCTAAAACCGACACTGACTTGCTGCTGGAGGACGAGAGACACGTCTCGTTCCGAGAGGCGCCTCCATGGGATCAGCACTTTCGGGGCTTAAGGAAGCCCTTCGGGCCTTGGCTTTTAGGGTTTAGGGCTTCGGGCCCTAGGGTCTAGGGTGTCGGGTAGGGCTTGGGGCCTCAGGGTCTAGGGTGTAGGGTTTAGGGTTTAGGGTTTTAGGGCCTTCGGGTTTGGGGTTTAGGGCCTCAGGGTTTAGGGTTTAGGGCCTTAGGGTTTAGGGGTTGGGGTTTATAGTGTAGAAGAATCAATATCCCTTTAGTATTTGGAGCGCAAATCATACATGGTTTTGGGGCTGTTGAAGTCGACACCTAGTAAAGGGTTGAAGGTTTAAGAATGGGTCACCAGAAGAAGTTGGCTGATGATATGTTCTTGGTGGTGGAGTGGGGGGGGGCGAGTGTGTCACGCTTTGTCCGGTAACCGTAAAGAACCGGCAGTAAAGCGCCAAAAACTAAACCCTAAACCCTAAACCCTAAGCCCTAAACCCTAAACCCTATACCCTAAACCCCATACCCTAAACCTGGATTTACCCTTGGCCCTCCATTTTGTCTAAACTGGAGAGCCTCAGACACCAACTCAGGGGTGAGCCTGCAGGACTCTCGGACTACAATAAGGGGTTACATAGGGCTTCAAAGAGGGACTCGTATAGGTTCCCAGTTCTGGCACTGTCTTACGTAGGCCCCAACCCCGTTTTAAATCTTAGGGCCTCTAAACCCCAAACCCGAAACCCAAACCTGTACGGGTAGTTCCCGAAACTGGGGTCCCCTTTAAGTAGGGTCAATGAAATAGGGGTGCCGCACTATTTGGGCGACTTAGAACGGATCCTACTTTAGAGAATGCTCCATGTTGTGGCAATGAAGAATATAGTTAGATTCCTAAACCCCAAACCCCTAAACCCTACAATGAACTA